AGGTTGAGGAGTTGAGGAGAGATCTTAGGGCGGCAACAAACCAATGAACGTAAAAACAAGTTTGTACAATTTAGAGTTTTAGACGACTGAATTTAAAGGATACGGCTTTACWGATAATCTCTACCGCTAAAAGATTGCGGCAGTCTGYATAACTTAGCACATGATACTTTCTTTGTTATTGATTCATTTCAATATGACCAAYTAAAACATATAATAAAATCTTTTTTATAAATAATTGYATTTTTCAGAGTCGCCGTGGAAGATTTAAGTGGACTAATCTACAATTCGTCTTTAATTATACAAGGATATGGAATCCTAACTCATCGGGAGTACTGTATAGATGCACTCGTTTCCGATAATAGAAGCAGTAAAACTATCACACTTTATTGTGTACCCAAACCAGCGCAAGCATCTGATTTAAATTTTTACTTACCAGGTAAGAAGGAAATTTCCATCTGGTGATTAATTTAAACAATTTTTCAATACCTTTTCAAATCCCTCTGAAACATGTTTAAATTGAGCAGACGCAAAATTTTCTCAATTTCTATAAATTGCGCACTTCATAGATATAGATTTTTGTCTTAAACGACACCATAGCGCAGCTTAAAACTTACCTTGTTTATTAGTTTAAGAAGTAGTTTAGTTAAGTGACTTGTTTGTTTTCAGTTTTAATTTTGTCGACAATTTGCTTTGCATTATCGGCTGCTGCCTATGCCATCATACTGAAAGCAACCGACATACACAAAAGATGCTTTATCATGTTCTCATCATCAATGTGTATTACTTTTATATCTCTAATAGTGATGCAGGTTCAAAACAAAGCTGGAACCTGTAACTTCTTTGGTAAGTACCGCTCTTTTGTATATTTAACAATTCTATTATATCGTGTACATTTCTAGGTTTTGTGTTCCTTTTTACGGTGATACTTTCCTTCTCTTGGCTGCTGATTTTGTGTTTGGATTTGCTTTATCAAGTTGTGTAAGTACATTTGATGCAAAACGATAAGCGTAATTTTCTATAGCCACATTTTCATTTCAGATATCCGATTGAACGCAAAAGATATACGCTTAGGTGGAATTGGTACTGCGGGCTTTCTCTAGGTGTAACTTTATTATTATTTGCCATAAGTTTATTTTCTGGAGAATTATGGGTACCTGACGTACCCAGTTCTTATATCATGAACTATGGAAAAACTAGATGCGTCTTCCAAAGTAAGTATCCGTCATAGTACATTTTATATGTTTTATCTATATTCCTTAAAATAGGAATAATAAGTTATAAGTAAAAAAATTGCATAATCTTATATACTATAAAATATCTACCATTTATTGCAGCCTCATACGCCAGAGCCCAAATCACATTTGTGCCCTTGATAATATCGATAATAGGTGCAAGTGCCAGTCTTATATTAATACAGAAATACAAAACGAAAAATCAAAAAGATACCTCTATATCTGAAACTCACGATTGGATTTCGAACGCCAACAGCTATGTATTCTTGTAAGTACACCGTAGGATTAAAACGAAAAGTTGAAGCTGAAGAAAACGTTTAGTTAGTGAACCTTATATCCAACAACAAATATCCCAGTTTTTTGATATATTAAAACTTATAACCGGTTTAAATTGAAATTGGGGGTAATCAATTTTCAACGGAACTCGATATGGAAATCAGAAAATAAAATACAAATTATTAACTTTGTTACTTATTCCTAGATTGTCCAATTCTTGAAACTAATGTTTATTAATAGCTATTCATGTTTGAAAATAAGAACATCAGCTTACAGTGTTATAGTTTTATTGCCAAGTTTAATCACCTTGAAACCACAAATTATACAGCTATTTGTTATTGCTGTGTTCCATTCAAGTTTTTTCATCATTTTCCCGTAAAATATTTTTATCTACTATAACTAGATTAAACCATTTAATTATTATGTATTTTAAAAACAATGGATGCATATTTTTAGGTCCAGGACGTATGGCATCATTATAACAGTAGCTTGCTTTTGGTTAATTGATGTGTTCATGTTCGCCTACCCATTGGAGAGTGGAAAAACTCAATTGGCTTTAGACGTAATTAAAGCAGCATTAGGTAAACATGACATTTTATTTTGTATACAGGGCAATTTATGTAGACCGTTCATTAGGTTTTCCAACTTAAGAGTTGTTTGAGAAACTTCAAATTTTGATTCCGGTCATATCGAGTCGTGCCGAAAAATACATTTAACCCTCCAGCTGTACAGGGTTTATGAAAATTATAATATAACTTTCTTATTTTAAATGCAAACCCCTAATTTATTTAGCATAGTTGTATTGGCCTTCCAATTTGGGCGATTTTGGGCCTCATTTTTGGTCCTATTTGAAAATTTTGCTATGATTAAACAATAAGAAACGAAACTAAACATGACAAAAAAAGTGAGTAGGTGCCGTTTAAAAAAAATGATTTTTTAACATTTTGTCAAGTCAATGTTGGTAGGCTGCATGCACCCATATGCTACAAAATGAGCACTTTAATGTCATCTGGGTTTTGAATTTAGAACCGTTCCTTAGATATGTCTTGTTCCACAATCACTTGTCTTGGCATTTTTTCTTACAACAATTGACATACGAGTACATCAAAAACTATAAGCGATAAGTTAACAAAACTAGGGTGGCCCAAACTCGCAATTCGGAGGCCAATCCCACCATGCTAAAGAAATTAGGGGTTTGCAATTAAAATAAAATTCGAAGTTTCTTCAACAAAAGTTGGAAAACTTCTAATGCACGGTCTACGTAAATCACATGTATATGATTTTCGTGGTTTAACTCCATGAATAGTAATTTTCTTGCAATACTTGAACAAAAAACATTGCTAAATTATTAGTAAAATGTCCTAATCAATATTATGCCGTTCTAGGCGTAGTAACATTCATTGGTTTTGTGGGAAATAAATACACCAGGAAGGAACTAAAGAAAAAATTTACAAATAAGAAAAGAATCAACTCTGAGGACTGCGAAGGATTAAATGGAATCCACACGCCAACTCCAGACACACAGTGCGAAATGGATACATTTATAAGCAACAACCATGCTCAAATGACTACCTTTCAAAATAATCGATGAGCCACAATCTGTTGATTCTAAAGTAATAAAAAAGATTCTTTGAGTTGCGAATATACCAAATACGTATGTATTATATTGCTTGTAAAGCTGATCTGTTTGTGTGTTTTCTAGCTGAAAAATGCGATAGATTTTTAGGCAATTGATTGAATGGATTGTTTCTTTTTAAGGGATTGATTGCGTATTAATAAATTAAAATGTATATAATTGATGGCCGATGTGTATTATTATAACTAGCATTTGAGTTTTGTACTTTTACCATAAATTATTTCGACTTTAGCTTTTACTGTATAGTATTATATTTATATTCTCTATGATTGTACAAACTTATTGGTCTAATGTAGAAAACAAAATGTAGTTTCATTTTTCATAACTAAATTTAATTATCTATTAACAACTAATTCTGCTATTGTAATCAATTAGCAATGTGTGCGGCGTTGAAGACTGATTAAATTTTTACAAGAGTTTAGCGATTTTGCTCATTAGAACCATTCAGTTTTATCGAATTTAATCACCAATACCAAGTAGGACCTCATAATAAATATATTTAAGTTCATTTCTCATTTAAGTAACATCTGCCTTTTAATATTCTGCTTATTTCAATTTTTTATTTTGTTTTCATGTAATAATAAAATGGTGTATCAGAGTGTTGATCCTTTCCGTAAAATGATACTTCTGTTGTTTTGTCTCCAAAATTGTTAATTAAATGTAATAAACAAAATAATGTAATACTACATTGGTGTGATTTATTCAATTGCGTATATTCATACTTTGACATTATATATCAACAAATAGGATGAATGAATAGGACGGTAGAAAATTAAATAGTACATTACTTACAAAATAATAACAACCATAACAGCTATATCAAATATAGGTACATATTTAAGTAGACGTTAGCGCTATATATTTGATTTAAAGACAGCAATGTAATCAGTGCATTAGAACTAAATATCGGGGTGTTACTTGAACTACGTGAACATATTAAACCTATTCTCGAACTTTTAAACCTATATTTCAGCAAAAAAGCGACAGCTGAGCATTTCCTATACGCTTAAACAATTTTATCTAAAATTTATATTATTTTTATCAAACACAATATATATTTTGTAATTGCCTTACTGCTTCCTTTCTAACACTGACGTCTAGCCATTACTGGCAAATGGAAATAACCAGTTAGAATATGGTAGTAAAAGTTATATTAAAGGAATGTTATTTCACTATCACTACAAAGCTAGGGAATTATTGGATAAAACTCCGAAACATAATTTTTTCGTTAACTGGCAGCTTTTGGTAAATATACCCAATCTATTATGCTGCAAATTTGTCAAGCCGTTCGTCCAGAAAGTTTAAGCTCTAGCTTTTTTTACCTTTTTCAATTTTACCAATATTAGCATACTCTTTATCATATTTCAATAGAAGGGGATCTATCGGCATTTAGGAATAATCCTTTTCTTGCTATAAAATATTTGCTTTCGTTTAATAAATACGGTAGAAAATGCTTTCAATTATCAAATACCTCTCCATAAAACAAACCTCACATTCCACAACAAAGTTTGTTCCTAAACTTTGTATATTAAGGGCAACATATGTACTGTAGATAAGTAGGCAAGTTTCAGGTAGACTCGAAGTAAGTTACTCAACATCAATAGACATTCTAGCATAAACTAACTAAAAGTATTGGTGTACTGATGACATCTAAAAAAAAACCTCAAACATACTACGAGCTGATGACTCTCAACGTCGCAAGTATGCATCACTTTTTAGTCAATCACTTTCCGTTTTTACTATTGGAAACGAGTCACTTATTCCCAATACGCTCATAACCTAAGGCGAAAAAAAACACCTATTCAATTTTTACCCACAATACGTATTAATATTGAAGATAATCAGATTCTGACAAACTCTATAAAGCCGCTTGATAAACAAACACACAACAAAATAGTTGCGCGGATAATAGTCATCATGCACGTAACATTTAAAAATATTTTCACATAATTTGTATTAATAAATATTAACATTTAAAAACATTTTTGATTTGAAAATAGTGTTTATAGGCATAATCATATTAATGGATTACTCAACCTAAGGTTTCACCAATTAACGGTAATTTTAATATAAATTTGTACTCACCTTATCTTCTGTTTGGCTGAAATAGACAAGGCAATAGTTCCCTCTGCATCTGCTCGGAACATCCGGAATCGTAACTTGGTACTTTTGCGGCCTTTCCATAGTCGGGGGGCCTCGTTCATCCACAGGTGTGGTGCATTTATGAACATATTCATAGGTTACATAATCGTCCAATGAGGTAAAGTTCTCCTGAAAGTTAAAAAAACAACAATCGACACTATATTTAGATAGATCCAAAAAGGCAGGTATTATTCAATTTGTATTTTTTAAACAGTAGAAAATATTTAAATACACCATAAATTGTTCAGTTATGACAATAAACAATTAGGTAAAAAAAAACTTTGAGATCGAATGCCCTTCATCAAATAGATTATTAAACCGTGCAACAAACTAAATCATAATGAAAGTACTTGCTCGTAATTTTTCAATTTTAGGGTTCGACAATAAATGCGAATAATTAAATCCATCCATTAATGCCAGTTACAATAAAAATTATAAAAACCGACGAAAACGGATTTGACCATTTTACCATAATAAATTCGCTTGAAACTTACACGGCTAATTGCAACCAGAAGTTTTCTTTTGAGCCGTAAACACTCACTCACCACGCCATTTTAATGATGCCATGATAGATTTCACAAAAATACGAAGCAGTCCTCCAACCCGCAAAATACCACCGTTTTTTTAAACGTCGTGCTAAAACAACGCACAATTTTAATTATCTTTTTTAAACTTCCACTGCCTTAATACGACTGTATTTATTCACTTTGCAACGAAAAGAACCGAAAGTTTTTCCATTGCGCTAAAAATACAGTGTGTTTTATCCCGAAAACAGTTTAAATTGCGTCCCGAAATGAAAATTAACTCAAGACAAAGCAAGCCGAAATAATGCAGCAGCGTCTTGCTTAGAGCCAATCGCCGGACAAAAGGTTTTCCTACGAAGTTTGTTTATCTAAAAAACCAGCCAATTGATCGATAAAACCTGAACTTGTTTACGAAACAAAGCATTTTTAAACTGGTAGTTCGACTTGTTTACACTAACATTTTGAGTCCTAAAGGGCTTGCTTCTACAGGGTATCCCCAAAACATTCGCATATGTTGCAATTTTTATATAATATCTCTATCGTTCCATCTGTAAATGTACTTATTTTTTGATTTTCATATTAATAGACCCATTGAAAAAAAGGAATCTTCAGGCAATCGTAAAACTTACTTCTATTAATAGATTGGGGAAGCGAAGGTTATACAGATAATAGCACTTGCAAACTGCACGTACCTTAAACAGTCCAATCCAATCGTCCTTTGTAGCGGGAATGTCTTTGGTAACTATGTAAAAAGCTTTGTTCTGTTGCGCTTCTTCCCAAGCTGGAACCTTGTCGAATTGTACCACATGCTCTGAATAATCTGAAAACACCTGATCGGGAACGACTTGGGCTAATTTTAGGGCAACATTTCTGGGTCTTATATTTACTGGTCGTGGTATCTAAACAATTTCATTGAGGCGTTAAAAACCATTATTATATTTGAATTAGTTTCATTAACTTGCAGCCAACAAAGCAACGTGGATGAATTAATTTTAGTGGGATCTTTGAACATTTATGAGTTTTAATATAGCTTCGCAACTGTTAAATAACGTTATGTACTGTTAATGGAAATTGGTTATCATTTTTTGGAAACCCAAGCATGAGGAAGTGAAATGATCGCATTATGTAAGAGCTATATATTCACAACACTGAAATTAAAAATAAATGTTAGTAAAAGCTATCCTCAAACTTTTAGGACAAGGCTTACAATGAAATTGATCAGTAGTTACCATCACCACATAAAAGCAACGGTGTTTCAAGCTAGTTGGCAGAAGCAGCAAGACATATAAAACATTTACTGTACCTTTATATTAAAATCTCCACTAACTGGCTTGTGATCGCTCAGTACGTAGGACGGATGTGATTTATAAGACAGCTGGTCCACTTTCAAAATTACATTTTCGTAATTGTGTGAGTTTACGCAATAGAGAATCCGATCACACCATGCAGGTCGTCTTCTGCAAGTTTAAGAGTTTGCAATTAACGACATTTATAATTGAAAAAATACTTTTAAATTAAAATTACATTTAATTACAATCCAACTTACTTATGGTCGTAAGCATTTGCACCCACTTCAAATTTAAAAGTAGGAGCGAATTCAATATCCTTTTCGGTAAATTCGCTAAAAGCTTCGCCCTTGTTCATAACATACTTAAGTTGATCGTGCTCCAGTAGCTTTTTTAGATCTTTTTTCAATACGCTTCTCTCTATTTCTTCTGGAGTTCTGTCGAAGTCTTCTAGTAGTCGGAAATTCAAATCACCCATCCAAAACACATAGCTTAAAAAGAAGTTTTGAATTTTATCAAGTTCACTAGTAAACGATGAAATATTTACTCGTGGTATAAAATTTTAGAAGTTTCCTCAACGTGAAAATCTTGGTCTTTGATAATACTGTTGTAGTCTTCAATTCGATCTTTCAGCTGATTATCGTGAGCGGTCAGGTGTGAGTTCACAAAACATAATGAACATCCATAGATACTTAATCGTATACTAACAGCGCCTTTATTGCCCTAGAAAATATTACACGGTTTCTTCATGACAATGATAAGAATATCACATTTATTTAAACAAAATATATACCATTTAATCTAAGCTAGAGCTATTAACACACAAACAAGGTAAATTTATTGGTAACACAACACACAAAAAAGGTAAAAAGGTGTCGGATGATTAAAAAACAATATTTTCTAATAAGACAGAATAATGTACATTAACAAACATTCTCAATTTTCTACATTTCAAGATTTCAACTGCATTAAAAAGCTAAATTTGAAACTGTTAGAAGATAAAAAGCCAGTTAAAAAAGTTACACGAAAACATTATCGTCTTTATTATTTAACACAAACGATCCAAACTCTACTAGAAGTGAGACATTATTTTATGACTGTGAAATGCGCTTGAGTAGTAAAGCATCACCTAAAACCAGTTATTAAACATTATTGACAAATAATAAAACTAGCATTTTATTTAAGATCCTACTCAACGTGTGTAGTAGGAATTTCAATATTCATGGCGTAAACAAGTAAATCCCATTTCTATGTTGATTCAAATAAAATTGAATATAAATATAAATGACGTAACGACTTTTATGTAATCACTACTTAATAAACCCAATAAATCGTATGAAATAGTAAAAATTCCAATTCATTTTGAAAGAAGTACTGAAATATTAAATAATTGACTTAAATTATGTGAACAGTGGGACAGTGTAGGTGCCATAAAATATTTTTTTATTGTTTAAAAACTTACCCACATTCCAGCTAAGCCAGTTCTGGTATATTCGGACTCAATCTCCCTGATGTTCAACAAGTGTTTTCTCAGTGAAAACACCGAAAGCAGTAATCCTTGTAATCGAATGGACTTTAACTTAATGTAGCCCTTATTATCGAGAATATCGCGTAATGCTGCAGACCAATTATCCTGAAAGTACACCAAAACTACTTGAAACATGTATAACTATTAAAAGCTATAGCTGAAATAGACTAGAAAATATAAGAGTTTCTATTAACATAACCGCAGATTGTTTCTAAAATATTGTATTTAATTTAAATTAATTAAAAGAGAAATTGCATAATAAAAATGATGAAATGAAATTAACGATCGAATCATATTTTAAGTCTGAGAACCAACAAATAGTCATGCTAAACGACAGCATTTTTATTAAAATATCAAGGAAATTGAAACATTGAATCTTTGTATAGGCACTATTATATTATAATTCATCGTAAAAACGTAAACAAAGCTTTAAATTAAACGCCATTATGGAACCGGAAATCGAGCTGACAATAGAATGGTTGGAACCTGCTTTCTTTAATTCTCTTTTTAATGTACTTGAATTATTCAACTTTCAGTTATAACTTTGGGTTAGACAATATAAATTTAAAAAATTGGTATAAAAAATACTAACTCTGATATCTTGGTTTTGAAAAATAATTTCAAAATATTAGAAAACTCACCTCAAACAACGTATCTAAAAGCATATTCTGAGGCTGAGACTTCACTTCTTGCAGACCAATGACATAGAAATCTGGAAATTTCTCACCCTTCTGACTTGTTATAGACAACAAATCTAACAGGCGCTGCTCCGGGTTGCTAGTGCCTACATTGTAGGTCGCTAGATAAAGCCTGCAAACAATAAGATATTTGTAAACTACTTATATGAAACAACACAGCAGAGCTGCTTCTGAGTGTCTGATATATTGTTTCTCACAAGTCTACAATAATTTGCGATAATTGCAGTTTGTAAAATACAAATTGAAAAAAATCTGTATATTGGAAAATTATGTAAAAAAATATTGATTATCAATAATTTTTTAAGAATTTCACACAATTGTTAAACGCATAATAAGGTAAATAAAAATATTTACAATTGTGATTTCGAAGGCAAACCGTAGACAAATTGAAAAGAAACCATCAATAGCTTTATCGATTTCTGTTATAAGCATTTTAGTCCAAACAAACACCTTAAATATCAAAATAGCAGTTTTCCTTTATCATGTGCTATAACACTGTGTTTAAATACACAAGACAGGTAAACAAGATTATTGCCACAAAGTGATAAACTAAAATCGATACCGTCAAATGCGGTTTACAAGAAAACCACAGAAAATTACAAAACAAAACTACTACAAAACCCAACTAGTTTTATCTCCGTTTTCGCTACTAGATTAAATACTTTATAATATGAACAATAATTTGCATGAAATAAATTAAAGCGTGTGAAAAAATAAAGCAAAATTCTGAACTAAATTATTGAATGTTCGTTGTAATATACATTGAGTTATTTTTACATGAATCCCCTTAGACTAGGCAGCTTTAAAACTTAATAAAATAAAAACCATTTTTGGATACTTTGCAACGCTTTCTATTTGCATCTTTGCACTTCTATTATGCTCATTTTGTAAAATAAACCTCAACCGTTTGAATCATTGATGAAAAGTAATTTAACTAGTTTTTTTTTATTTCACAGCACATTACACAGCGATTGCTTCTGTTTCTAATTATCCTTTTATGTACATTTTCATGCGCAACACATGCATTGAGAGGACATAAATAACATCTGCAAAATCTCAATGCAAAAAAGAGTGAATAAATGAGTTAATTTTCTTTATATTAAATTAAGTGTTATCGTCGGTTGATACATAAAAGATCAGACATTTTTGCTTGTAAGTTTTGTACAYTGTGATCAATTGAAAATCAGAAAACCTTATTAAATGCACAGTGCATTTCTCAATAACGATTGAAGAATAGACCTCTTTCTCCTTCTTCAGAAATAAGTTTGTAAAAAAATGTAGTAAAAACAGTAGAAAGAAAAAATATTGAGTGTTTTTAATAATTACACTCGCGTTTTGTGGACAAACCCTATAAATATTATTGTGGTAAATATACTTAATAGACATTATTGGCAAAGGAAAGAAGCGTTAGTGTGTACATTTCGTCTTAATATAATTATAAACTGCTTTGGAACTTATTGAAGATTACGAAACGCATAATTGATTCATGCCTCATGTCCTATGTCTAAAAATATAATAAATCTTTCAGTAGTTTCAAGTAATCCAAAGTCAATTTTAAAATGTTATTCTCGACGAGAATTGAAAAGTGATAAATGGGGCTCTTTAATCAGTTAACCCATTCAGGATGCGATAAAATTTGACGATTAATAATGTAATTTACACCAATTGAGTTAAGGATTATTCGAAAGCCGGTTAAAGAATTGGAGGTTTTCAACTGAAACATGTATTAGGGATTATTTAGATTAATCTAATCAATAATACATTTCCAGTAAGTGTGCTATTATTACACATAGGTAGGTATATGTATTTTGAGATGGAAGTCATGGCAAGATAAGTCCCTGATTTTAAGTTTTAATATTACTTAGATGGGTTAGTCTAGTCTGGTCTAATTTTGAGACATTAATCAATACATCATGTTCAAGGCTGCAAGCACTCTGTTAACGACATATTCCTTTAAATTATTACGTATGAGCCTGTTTTTAGAAATAATTGATCAAGCAGAGTTCATGGCGAAATGTAGCTTAGCAATAGCTCAAATATTAAAACAGGCCTAACAAGTTACACGATGGAAATATAGCGAATATACAACAGCGCAAAGGTTGTGAAAATTATTGGCTGAATGAAATAAAGCCAAAATCTTACCTGAGATTATCCATGCTAGAGATATTAGAAACTATGGCTTAAAAATTATATACTTGATGGGTTTGCAAACGATGATAACAGCTTTCAAGGCGTTTCTGCTTAATGACATTCTATTTAATCATACTTTTGAAATGCACTGACTTGTAAAAAATAATTTTTGATACAAAGTGAAATGTAAACACTCTAAAATTAAAAAAATTCCAACAAATTTCCCGTTTGTCAGTTTCAGACTGGCTCCTAAACCATAGATAAAGACAAGTATGTCCTAAACTCAGTCAGCTGAGGTTTATTGATATCTAACAGCTGATAAATGCAATGTTGTCAGTTCATATATTAGAAATTCATGTGTGTAAACTTTTTGAAATTATTTACTGTTATTGGTTTATTGACTGAAATTATTAACAAATTACAGTTGTTATTTACTCCGGATATAACGTTTACAGGTAACATAGAGCAGGCATGAGTGAAATAGGGCAAATTTTCGAATGCGCGTATTAAAAAGAATCGAAAAACGCTATATTCTCTTCTATAAAATTCTATAAAAGATATTCTCAAATAAAAATATATCGCGCATTTTTAAATGGTGAGGCTGTATTTTACTAAAATTCCTGTTTAACAATTGTTCTTGATTTTATTGATACAAACCTATTTGCTATTCACGTCACAGAGCTGACATTAATTAACATCCTCATACTTTCGATACGTCCAGTTCTAGGTGCGCTTCCTTTTTTATCACAGGTTTTATGAATAGTTGCGCCTTGTTTCGCGCATATAGATCATACATGCAAGAAACAATAATTATTTTGCCAAACGTGTAATTTATATAGAGATTTAAGTGGTGGGTTTCAGAAAATTGAGCAAGGACAGTCCTACATTGTTAATCTCGTTGAAAAATAATGAACGGTTTCAATAAAACAGGATCAGTTGAACACGCAGAATATGCAAAAAAAATAAACTAATATAATATAAAAATAAAACATGAAATTTAATGTACGATAAAAATGAAAGAATAGATCCGAAAATAATGTAAAACACTTATTTTCTGCTATAGAAACGAATTTTTAAAATTTTTCAAAAGTTTCATTTTATCAAAAGAAATAATAAAATGCCCAAAATTAAACTGGAAAAAGACTAGTATTGTCTTCTTACTGACTATTAACTTATAGTTGTTATTTTTGTACAAAAGCATTTTGAGTTTATTTTCTTTATCAAATATATATATATTTGCAAAAAATATATTAACGCTTCGCGGCGTTTTTGTTATAACTTTGATATTTTACTAAGTTTATACCCGCAGAACTAACAAAACCATTCCAAAATGGAAATGCAGTACCTATAGTATATTTTTCTTGTAACTAACTACCTTCTGATGCCATTTATGCCAAGTCCTTAGGGTATTATACTTTTATTTACTAACAAAGGTGCACATATTTACTAAATTTAAAAACCATTTATTCATAAATTATATTTTTGCATGTATACACTTTTTCCTCATTTTATAGGGCACTGCCACTTTAAAAATTCCATTCGGGAAGTTGTCGGTGAGGAGTTAAATCCAGACCTTGATTCTTATATGGATCGGGAGAATAAGAAATTCCTTCATTAATAGATTCGTATCGAGTGTTTTCGTATGCGGTATAACGATCCAAGTGACTAGCTTCTTCAAAGTAGTATTCCTTAACGCTTGCATCTGAACATAAATAATGCAAAGTGATTTAAATAAATATAAACTCGTAAACAAACTTACCAAAGTCGTCCAAGCATGTTATCTTCACTTGTATGCGGCTTTTGTCTATGCTTGATTTTTTATGTTCTTTGCAGTTCGATGTTGATGCAGGACACACTTGGCCGAAACAAGTAGGAGAAGCAACTTAAAGACGTAATAAATTATTTGTTATGAAACTACATATATATTAATTATATAACATATATTTACAGAGACTTGACCAATGAATAGTACCTGGCAATATAATATGGAATATAAATATTATTTTAATTTTTGAGTGCGTTTTCAGAAGAAGTTTTATTTTCAATTTCAATTAAAATTAAAGAGTTTGTAAAAACAAATCTTGAATTCAATGTTCATTTCAATCGAATTAATTTCATATTTTTATTAACTCAGGGTACTGAGGTTTGTTGCGAATAAAATTTGTAGTTGAAAATTCTTAATAAACCTGCTCACAGAACCAACAACACCTTACATTATTAACATTTATTTGATTTTCCATTTGTAACACTTAATTATTTTAATTAATTTTTAGTTAATTTTAAATTTAGAAGTATTAATTTTGCTTAAAATCCCCTCTACTTCCTAATCATCAACATTATATTGGTTGTTTGTTATTTGAGATTTTTTGTTAACTGAAATTGACTAATAATTTTACAGGGCACAAGTGTATAAAATAAGTGAAAATTGGAAAACCCTACAGAGATATGGATCGTTGAATAACAAAAGTATTAATTGCATATTCACATATCATTTTACAGAACATGCAAAGAAACAAGGAAGTGAATGTGGTGATCATAATAAATTTGAAAAATCGAATTTAGTTCAGTAGAAAAGTAAAAAAGCAATATCGCACTGAAAATTAACAGAGAAGATTGAGAAGTATCACCCTGTAAAAGCAATGTACAATGCAATGACAATTGTTATAACAATTTAAATAACAAATAAAAATACAATTTTTATCCGATAGTCGAAGCGTTGGGTTTCAAGCACTTCAATCTGCTAGGAACCCTGTATAATCATCGAACTTTTGAACATTTTCCTCATTCAAATGCCCCATAAAATCTTAATTGTAGATATTAATGAAGACAAATATAAGTAAAGTTCAACATTCGGGACATTTGAGACCCGAAGACAAGCGAAGCTGGAGGCTATTTGTTCTATTTTGCCTGACACCTGATACTTAGAAATTTAAATCATCCTAATCTCTCCCTTGGAGAAAGTCGATAAAATTCAAATATACTTTGCAACCAAATAAAAATGCGTCACGAAGTAACACGATATTGCTTTAGAAGAAATTGTCGACTCATCCTTGTAAGACATGCATCCTGCTTACTAGACACCCTGTATATACCCAAACAACTATTCAAACAGCCAACATTTCATCATTCAAATCATGTTTTATTTAGTGTATTTACTTACCATATTGCATAGAGCGTTGAACAAGCGCCAAAGCAACAAAAATTACCAACAAAGCTGTAGTACTTTTCATCTTCAACGTTTTTCAATAACTTTTATACGAACGAATCTTGAAAAAATGTAATTAAACGATCGCCAATGCACTTTATATATTATAGATCGCTTTTGTGAAATATCTGGATCAGTTCTTCGGGTATAATGGCGAACTTTTATCGTAAAATGGTTGTTGTTCCAAAAACCTAATTCGTAATAAACGATATTCATATCAGTGATTTCAACATGAACTGTTCGAGAAAAATATGATTTATAAATGGGGCGATAAAGGAAAAAAAATATTTACATACTTAGCAATAAATATTGCAGTTAATTATGGTATAACATATATTTTGATAATGACTCTTTCGGTATTTAAAGCAAAGAAGTGAGCTGTGTATTTGTTACTTCAAGGTAGAATTTAAAATATATATAATCTAAATATAAATGTGACCAGCAGTAGAAGTAACAAATCCTGCCAGACACACTTTAATACTCCATATTAAATAAAAGTTTTATAATATTCTGTCGAAGTCAATCGCAAACAATCTGATTGAACACTGGCAACATTTCTCATAACTTGATAACTTCCATATTAGTGAAGATAGATCAAAGGTTTAAGTGAAGAATAGTCTTTTTTAACGGATTACGATAAATAAAACAGCAACAAATCTAGAAGCGCTTTTACGAAATATCTCTACGCAAAAAAACATTTAAATTCGATATTCCGTGCTGAAATTTTGTTAAAATCTTAAAGAAACCAAAAGTGAAATAAAAATCAGTGACAAAATTTCACTTTTTAAACATGAATATTTATTTATTTAATATATTTATGGGATTTTGATTATATGTCACTTCTATGCACGTACTTGCATTTTATACTATTAGTGAATATCATTTGTATAATGTGTATAATAATATAATTTGCTTTATATTCACTTACCTAACAATAGCTGCCAACTCACAAAACCTTCTAATTTATTGAATAGACTATACATACACCTAACAGTTTTGGCTAGAAAAATCTCTCGCGTTATTGACCATTAAAAAACTTTGAAATTGTACAAATCTTTACAGCCATTAACTCCATTTTTCAGATTCAGCATTTTGTAAATTTTTTTGTAATCTTGTACTTACCAACAATGTGCCCAACATTTTACAATCCTGGGTAAAGAGAAATGACGCAAGTAAAACACGAACGCAAAAATGAAGGAAAATCGTATTTTATCAAATAAAGGAAAAAACGGTTTAGAAGTACAATACAAAAAGACTTGTAGCTCACGTTTCCTTATTTCTTGCAAAATATTTAGTGCGCTTTATAGCTGAATAATTAAATTAATTCACAAAATAATGTCATATTTGGCCCTAGGTTGGTTACCATAAATAAAACACCTTGGTTCTTGCGTAATTTCAGTTAGAAAACCGACGCAATATTGTGATTAATCACTAAAATAAATAAGTCTCTCGAGTACAAAAAGAGAGCTAAATATAATTGAACCTGGCAAAAATGGTTCCACAGGTATCAAATTAATAAAGTCAAAGCTCTCTCGTATACTACACGATAATTTCAGACGACTCCAGTTCGAAATATTTCCCTAAGTTCTTCTCAGTATTTTTCTTTTAACTTTATAGCTGCATGTTGTGCGGCTATTACAAAAATTGAAGAATACTACCCCTCTTTACAAACCCAGTTTGCCTTGCCAGCAAATATATTACTGAAAACCGATTACCGAGTTATTTACTCTCACATACTCGCTGAAAAAAATTGTTATCCTTAATATCTTTATAACTTTACACACCGACCCAATAATTACGATGCCGATGATTTGTGATATACCTACTCAAACCAGGGGCGAATAGGGAAAAAAGGACTATAAATTTGCCCATAATTACCGCACCAGTCAACTGTTTTTCTTTAATACTCTAGCAAATAACTGCTCGTTACAGTTTTAAATTATAACATTATAATTATCCGAATATTTTGCATTCTCGACTATGTATTTTAATGATAAACGTATACAAGTTTCGAAATATATCACAGGCTTATTATCAGCTTTTCATATTGATGTTTTGTTTTGTTTCCGATGAATGAAGGTTAAACCTTTTTAAATTAATGTTAATGTTTGTTACGAGGCAGAGTCGGAATGAGTGATACATTTTCTGAAAAGTTATGTTTCTGCAAATAATTTGTAGATTAGTGGAGATTTAGAGATGCTTTAAAGGAAAGATGAATTTTGTTTGAGCGTTTTTTCTAAGAAACATTTAAAACAGAAAAAGTACAAAACATTTTAAAAAATGCATATTGCCATGTTATATCAACTTATCTTTAGAAAACAAAGACAAAAACTTACAAAATATGCGTGTAATACAAAATACATATTAACTTTTATTGGTATTATATAATTTGATATAATAAATATGGGATGATATGATATTATCCTTAAGCATTTTTTTATTAAGTAATTTGATTTTTTTCTAATGCAAAAAAACGTTCTAATTTATAAATATTAAAAGGATAAATAAAATCGAGGGCGCGTGCACGAGTCTGGTCTAACAAAAATACGGTAGTAATTAAGCAAGAATAAATATCAAAATATTTTTATACGAAATTGAAACACCAAATTACAAGTAAATGTAAAAATTACAGTTTACAGTAAGTACAAATTAAGTAATGTCTCTGGGAATAATTCCGATTTTATTTCTTGAAATCAGCAAATAACGAAACTAAGTTTATGTATATGTGATATCTAAAGACATCTTCAAGACTTTCCAGAGCTCTGTCCAAATTTAACATTTAAAAATAGTGTTTTAAATTCAAAATTATATATTTTACAGTCTGTTATAGTTGTTTCACATAAATATTTTGCTCAATTGCAAGCTTTCGTTTGCAAGAATCTCGACCAGAAGCTTAAGTATTCACTCCCCAAAACAATTTTTTGAAAATAAAATAAATGGGAATAAACGCTTCAACCGCGGTATTATATATCATTTTTAAACTTTACTAACATTTTACTTACTTTCTTTTAAAATGTTACTAACTATTAAATTTCTTTGCTATCATTACCGTTTGCTTTTCATGATTTTCGCAAATGTAATATGTCTTTTCTTTATTCTTATAATTTTAATGCCTTTTATGTTTTTAAAATTTTATTTTTCAGAATTTCATAAATTCTCAAAATTGATATATTCGGTTAGTATGATTATAAGCCTAACATTAGTTTTTATTTATTTATTATTATTGTCTGAAATGTCCTAGACTTGGCAATGCCGTTGAAAGTTACTACATTGTGCGTTTACAGTTTGTCCAGCTAGAAATTTAAATACCATAAATTTATAACCGTCATTCTGTCAGATCACTTATTTAAAAACAATTTTTTCGGGAGTGAAAACATGGTTTTTTAGAGCTTGAATGTGCTCTTCATATCACTGAAATAGCAGAAATTCACTGAACGAAAGGTAAGAACGATGCCGATATTAAAGTATTTTAATCTTCGTACTGCTACTTGTGGGTTAGCTTATGGGTGTGTATTTGTGTTCATTTTGTGGTGTAAAACTTTTGAATTCATTTTTTACCTTTTTGATTCCTTTGCAATATTTAGTTTAGTCTAGCTTACTTAACAGGGGTTGTAGTTTTTTTTATAAACATGTGTTTTACTAACTAATTCGTAACTGCCATTACGTATCCTTCAAACTTGGGCTCATATTGATATGATCAGAATCAGAACAAAATACCCTGGAACCTATCAGGATTTTAGCGATATCTGCAAGCAGGTAGGCGAGTATGGATATTTTTCATATAAGCAATCCACGAAGATTTTACCCATTCATTTAATATTGTTTAGGTTATTTTTATAACGCTCTGTCTTGCAAACTTAGCTAAAATTGCATAAAAAATCACGGATTAAACTCCTCAATAGCTCCTCGTTTAAGAAATATTTGAATTAATTTTCAAGGCATATTATGTCAACATGATTCATATTTTTGCATTATGAAAACATCCCCTCTGTGAGACCCAAAAATTTTACTTTTCCGCCACATTTAGCTGCATTTTGTGGGAATCCTGCAACAGTCAACATTGCTTGTTTGGACTTTTGCATTGCACTGAACGTTATGTTTGCACTTAGCACTTGTTGCTTTATTTACTTGTGCTCGGTTTAATCTTCTCGAATATTCAAGATAACAATTTGTTGTGCACGATCAATTACCAGCATATGCAGTTTATCTAAGTAACACAACCGAATAAATAGCATTTGCTACAAGAAGAGTGAAAATTATTGTTTTCATTCTCTCATATTGAAAATAATAAATCCTCGAAAGATTTGTGAAAAATTACTGTTAGCTCACTGCTCCAAATATTTTGTATTATAAAACTCAGTCTGTAGATACTTACATGCCAATAAAATGATAATAATATGTATATTATTAGTTTAGCCAATGGCACCGAGGGCCAGTTTGGGGATATCTGAATGAATAAAAACGATCTTAACTCAATGTAGAATTTTATAAATTTGCAATATTTTGAAAAGCTGATCGATTTCGCGTAGTTTTTAATTCATTTGAGAAAAATTTCGTAATATTTTTATCCGTTTGGAAACACTTCCCAATTGATCTTCTTTACACCACTGCTTTTCTACAAATTTTTGTTTTTGATTTTAATTAAAAATTAGAGAATGAAAAAAGGTAGAGAACAAATGACCAATTTCCTGAAAAATATGCAACAATTTGTTTGTTCATTGGCTGACCGTTTTTTGCCCGTATCTAGGATAATTTTAATAATTTCTTTAAACGAATGAGACAACACAAATAAAATATAGGATCAAGGGCTTTTATATATCACGTCAAAATAAAATAATTTAAGCTCTTATAAACCATGCGTTTAATCCCTAATTGTAAAAATGCGTCGACAAGTAGGAAATATTCGGTAGCTTTTTCTTTCTGTCTCCATATTTCCTGGGTTTCACTCCTAAATGACATTTTTCCAATTCAGTTTCAGTTTACTTTCAAATCATTCCAAATAACAGACAAATTTTAACTGAAAATGTTTTTATACAATTAAATCGTTCCTTGTTGCACGAAAGAAGCCAAGGAAAATCTTTTTGTGATGGAAGATTAGACGATGGTATTAGATTTAATGATCCTACAACATCTCTTAATTATATATTTCTGGTGTAATTTCAGAGTGTGCCAGACACTTTGTGTTGCCAGCGTTTCGGTTTCTGCTTAATAGAATGAAAAAAAGACACTGAAAAGCATTTTTTCAGTATTACGTAATATCACCGAATCATGCCAAAAAAATTACAGCCGGTTCCAGCAACAACACAATTACACCGGACATTATAAATGGTTATTTCCCAATTTAGGTAATTGTATGATTGCCTCATTTCTCAAAGTGATTCTTGTCTCTTGTAATGCAACACGAAACCATTTTAAGCAAGTGTATAGTCAAATTCTTTTAGTGCAAAGTCAAACATTTTAATTTTATGAATACAAAAATTATTATTGGAATATGCCTGGTACCTGATGATGATTTATAGAAAACCGAAAAGTAATTAATTTAGTTACTAAAGTCGCACAAATGTAAATATTATATAAAGTATAAATCTGGACATCATGGTGAACTAATTGAGCGTATGCATATTTTCAAGACATTCTTGCATAACGTGTTAACATTTTTATCAGATTGTTTTATTCTGCAATTTCGAGTATTTGGCAAAATTATTGAAAAATTGTTGATGCTTTTGAAAAAATTTGTATTACAATCCGATTCTGGACAAACATATGCACCACCTTCTACTTTAGCGAATCTGTCAACGTTCCGGTTTTATTTTAAGTCATCTTCTAGGCAATTTGTTTGTTTTTCTGAAAAGTAGATAGTGTGCATATGCATATTTTTGTCCTAAACCCACTGCGTCATTGTTAATATGGGAGCTATTATTCTTGTAATATTTAAATAATTGGCTTAAAATATAGCTTTTTTACTTAATAACAACTATTCGTGCTATATTTAGATAAAACTAAAATCTGAGCACCTAATAAATGAGCATCTAATACTACTAATCTAAAAATTTAACATACAAACGAACGGCAAAGCTATTTATTTGCACTGGCGAGCCGCAATTGTTCAAGTTTCAGAAGCCGGCAGTGTTCTTACATAACTGTCTACTATTTGAGAAAATGTGGGAAGAATTGCACTGTTTTTTTTGTAATAACCGATGCATTTATCATTTTTCACGTTATAGATGTTATATTTTTAGTGCCAGTCATCAATTTTTAGAGCTAAAACCTTTGTTTAAATATGTATTTGGAGTAATTTACCTTAATAGATAATAGTAAATACTTGTTTTTTGTTTATCAAAACATCGTTTTAAAGGAAAATCATTCGGATTCGTTGTTTCTCAATCACCATTAAAAGCTAAGTTGTGTCGATATTTCACATTTTTGCTCTATTTCCTGGCAGGAAACTCATATTCATGTAACATTTAACACGAGATTGTGTGTTTTCCATAGGTAAAATACTATTATATTAAATGTAATTAACTATGCAAAATTTTCGAGTTTGCAACTAACGAGTTATAACTGCCTGTTGATTGAAAAATGTAAATCTTTTTTGATCTTACTTCTGGTGCCATTTGATTTTACTATGTGTGTTATATGGATGAACGCAATTTGCACGATTTCAACGTAGTTAATATTATAATTAGTTCTTTAGTGCTTCTTGAAAATACTAACATTTTTAGATTTTTGCGCGTTTTCACTAGCCTATTTTTTACATGTATTATTTGGCGTTAGATTATAATGCCAAGGAAAAAAAAACATCGCAAGCACGGCAAGAATACGAAATTTGGTGGAAGTTCTGTACTTGCCCAATTAAGCAAGCCATCATCCTCCAATAAAATAGATAAAATAAAATTACTTCAAAGTAACAGCATGTCAGATACAATGGGCGATGCAGGAGATGCAGAATACTCTACACCTTTACGACCCATTCGCACCCGAAAAGATTCATTCGAATTGGATACACCAGCCAAAAAATCTCATGTCAAGGTAGCGCCCTTAAATTAACGCATTTCTTCGTTTCGCTACTAATGGGTTTTTAGGAGGATGTTATCTTAAGTAGTGCAATCGAATCCTCCGCTAAATTGGACCCTTATTTAAATAATACTTCCGTGGAATTAACCCCTGTAAACAAGCGACGCAGCCTGAACAGACAGAATGAAATTCGACTAAATGGTACTTGGAACACCACAAATTTAAATGTGTTATTTGATCTAGATGCTGAAGTACATGGCAATCACATTTCTTCAATTAAAGATATTGACAATAGGCCACGATTTAGTTCCAGTATTTCCAAATTACATTCTCCAGGTACTTAGGGAGTGTTTTCTGGACCACTTCGTTTAACTCTAAAATTAAATGCAGGTACGGAAAAGGTCTTGTCTTTTCATAAGAGCACGCAAACAATGGATGAAGATGAACTGAGACACGAAATGAAACATACCATTACAGAAACCCCTAAACTACTACACAAAAAGTTATCAGACAACAACTTAAATTCGCAAGGTTCGTTTTAGAGAATGCTCGCTTTTAGTTACATTTACACGAATGAAAATGTTTCAGAAATGGATAAAATAGTGAATAATTTGGCACATGTTTCAAGCAGCACCAAAATCTCGCAAAACGACAAACTTCAAGAAATACACATTAACCCTTATTTGAAAGAAAAGGATGCTGTAAATCTGGAGATAAACGCTCAAATATCCCGGTGGCAGAAGGAGAGAAGTGTAGACGACATGTTTTATTCGCCACATCTATTCGATTTGAAATCGAGCTCTACTCCCATACAGGAGGAAAAGTTGTGCAATTTAAAGGAAAGCGACGTGATCGAGAAAAATTTGGAGCCATGTGTTAAAAAATTATTTAACAATAAGCCAGTGAACGAGATTGGACATCACACACCTGGGTTAGTTTGAACACGGAAAATGCGTTTTGATTTAAATCAGTTAATTTTCGTCTCGTATAGCTCAGCAAGGCTGAAAGACCAATTTCTAAACAATAGTGTTGAATTGACGAGCCTTGTTGGAACTCCCCACAGGCTAGAAGACATAAACTTAAACACTCCACCAGTCGCCGAAAAAGTTATCAACAAGTATAAGAGTAATAGTTTTAAGCAACTGGGAAGTACCAAAAAGAAAACACCTCTGACTATAAACAGGTAAAAGTATGGGATTCTGTAGCTAATAGGACTTCTGTGAACAAAAACTGTTTTTTTAAATCAATAGGTGCAAGTAATAACTAAGTACAGTACAAGTATTTTTTATACAAGCTTTCATTTTATTTATATGTACCTAAACATTTATTTTAAAAATATTTTCGAGTATCAGAGTAAATTAATCTACTTGGACTCTTTTTCTAAGCCATATATGTTGCTAAGTTTTTTGGTCTTTTTATTTTAATGTCCCTCGATATTTTCATTCACGTGACTTTCAATTCACAAATGGCACAAATCATGTTCCAACAAATGATGGTCGTATGAAAAGCCGTAGTCTTAATTAGAAATGTGCTTTAAATACTTTAAAAAGGCCTTTTTACGCTGCGGAATTTTATCTACTGAAAATTGCTAACTAATTTTTAATATTTCTTAGAACGTCGCCTAGAATTAATAGACTGAGTTACTATAGAACGTCTCCGAAAACATTATCGTTTGCAAAATTATCAAATAGTCGCCGGTCAGCACTTAACAATTCTTGTGAAATGAGATCATCCACAATACAACCGGGGATGTTCGACAGGATGGTAAATAAAATAAAAAGGTGAATTTAATTACTCATTTAGCGTATCTTCTAGTGAGCAATTGATTAATAATTTTTGCACTAATTTTTTTGAGAAGTAGATATAGTATTAAAATAGGTTGATTTTAAATTTCAACTAGGTCATCTTTAATAATCATAACTTAATCCTCTCTGTTTTCCTTCCGTTTTTTTATGATCGCCTAAACCTTTAGAGATGTCTTAAATGCACTATCGCTTTGATTTTCTGACTTCCCACCTTTATTTATGGTTAAAAGTGTTTGTCTTGTATACTTTTTCAAAACGCGCTACTTAGATTTTTAGCAGAAAGTCTGAAAATGTTTTAAAGCCCAAAAATCTATATTAGGTATAGCAAAGCATCGGCTAAATGGAGCACAAAAGTAATGGATTCATGCACTCAGTTGGGAATTCAAATTAAAAATGTACGTACATTTTTCCGGTAATTCGAATAAATCACGCATATCTTGTCAATTTGTAGAGTTTTTCCACGATTTGTCAGGTGGCTAACGATAGATCGATGTTGGAATGCTCTCAAAGTTCGTGCGACTTCGAAATCTGCAAAATGGAAATTGAAAATTTGAACAAAAAGCTAGACGAGGTCAATGCGAAAATTGCCAAGTTAATGGAAGGTGGAAAAGATGGATTAAAACATCTGGAAAATATGACGAAATTGCATGAAGAAATGGAACAGGTTAGTACGGTTTGATATTTTTAACTAAGTATACTTTCTACATGCTTTTCGTAAGTTTTAATGTTGAATAATATTGTTCTTTCAAATCGGTTTAGTTTTCTATTTTGCTTCGTGGAAATTCTATTTACTCCAATAGAAATAATAAAAAATGGTGTAAGATAGATATTGCCTAATGGCAATTATCTATCTTGAAAGATATATCTACCAGATTATAATATTCGAACAGATGAAGCTAAAATTATCCAGCTACACCAGTCTCCGAACTGAACTGGACTCTATGAAAAAAGAGATACAAAGCATAAAATCCAGTGGACTGGTAGGCATAGAACGCGCCTCTTCCTTGGCTCCTATTGCCATTCCCCCGCCTCCTCCACCACCTCCGCCGCCCATGCCCGAGCCGCCCAAAGGACCTTCTAACAGGATTTTAATAAAATCGAAAAGTACACTGGGGTGTTTATCTAGCAGAGCGGAAGATCGCCCAGTGATCAGTTTAGATGAAATCCTGAAAGTGAAGTTGAAAAAACCTTCGGTAGGTTTTTCCCTTCGGTTGAAAAAACCTTTCAATTTCATATTATGCCGGTTTGCTTAGGAGCGTCCATCGGTAACCCCCCAGCGACGACCTATGCCAGCTCTACAAGACGATCAGTTCCATCATGTCAAATTGCGGAGCAAAACCATGGCTAAACATTTTCCTATAAGGAGTAACAGCTTTTCGTCCCCGAGTAGGAGCCGGGTTCAATTGGTGCAGTCGACTAGCCCGGCGAGTAGCCTAAATAGGCTCCTAGAGAACGGCTCCGTATGGCCTATGAAGAGGTTGAGGCGAGGCGGCTATAGTTTTGATTCTGTTCACAGAAAATCTTTGATGTCGCCTAGCAGGAGGGAAAGAACCCCAAGTTGAACTGATCGCTGGCAAATTCGTCAACTTGTAAATAGTTATTGGTATTTCCCCCTCTTGAATGTAATTTTCAATATTGGCTATATCGTGTATCCGAGACTTTAATGGAAATACTTTAGAGTTGATATTTTAGTCATAGTCTTTTTTATCAAACGCAAGAAACGATTATATCTAAAATAGAAAATTTATTTATCACTTAGTTTTTCATCATATGTTGCTTTTTAAATATTACTAGGTACATAGTTTTATTTTATGAACTGTGGTTGAAATTGCCTGAGAGCTTTAACAGTTTTTAAATTTACATTACTGTTAGCTTATACTATCTCGCATCTAATAGCTAATTTGTATTGATTTTCGATCTAAATGAAGGTCAATTTCCCCGCAGAAATTGATACGCAATATATGCCATAGGATAGGAGTATATTATTTTATTTGTTGATATTCTTTTATATTTTATAGACTCAGATAAGGCTCTGGATCCCTATGTTGCAAATTTTTTGTAAACTTGTGATATTTTCGCTTATATTCGCATTGGAAAAAATAATTTATATATTGAATATATACTTAGTATCTTTGACTGGTATTTTTATTTCTAATCCAACAAAAATTTTATAAAATCGCAGATTAAGTAAGTTTTGGGTACTTTGGATGGACAAATCCACATTTTTTGAAAAAAACACACCGTTTTTGAAGTAGTCGTTTCCACTGAATATTGATTCTTCTTTTTCTGTTTCATTCAGATGCGAAAAATTAAAATAAAAAAAAATCATCAATCCTTTTGTCTCAAATAAAATGGTAGAAATTGCTTGGTTCTATTCTTCATTTTTAGAACACATAACTAATAAAATTATTTCGTCAATAAATTTAAATTTGTTTCAAATTACCGACTTTCATAAAAAATTATGTTTTGTTTTTGAACCATTAATGGATGCAAGTGTTTCAAAAGTACTTTTTTTGTGTTTGTTATTGTTAAGCTCTTCAATTCTATGCTTTTCCCTTGACTGTATTTATCATTCAAATATATTTTTTTATTAATTCCTTGTGGTTTTAACAAGCAAACGCTTAACTTGAGAGAAAAATGGCTGTTTTAGAAAAAAATTAAAACAGGGTGGTTGAAACGAATTTAATCCAAAAAACAGTCGAAACGAAATTTATTTCAACATAAAAACGTATAAAATGATACCGAAACAACAATAAATCTAAATCTATATATCACAAAATTATACAAAATAATTATATAACAGTTTTACTGCTCCTATTTGGAGTTCAAGTCGTCTATTTCACTTTGGGGTTTCGACTTAGGAATTTTATCAGATTCAGAATTCCGGCCTACACCTTCATCATCTTCAAAAGGATATTGTATTGTTATAATTCCGGATAGTTTGGTACCTTTGTAATAAACATGTGGTCCGTAAGGATTATCCGCAGTACTGTTCTTCGATGTTAAAATATGCCCTAAAATATTAACAGGTAGTACATTTGTTAAATATTCCGATTAAATACATTTATTGGTGTTACCGTTGTCATCGTAGCATTGCACTTCAACATTTAATTTGCTGGAATCTACTGAACTTACTTCTGATCGTTTCCCACACAATACTGTTCCCTCAGGACATTGTAGATAGAAACAAATAGTACGAGGGTCTGATTCTAAAAATGTGTTCAGCAATTAAACATGAATGGTTTTTCAAAATATCATAGCAAACTTTCAATCCTCACATGGCAATCAGATTAATTATATTACATCTTTAATAATTTGTTTTTAATTTATAATGCCTGCGAATGTAAAGAACTTAAATTCTAAGCGAGTCCAGAAATTTGTTTAAGTGATATTTCAGTTTATCGTAATCAAAAAGCACATTTAATTACATCACTTAAAAAGCGTTTTGGAATTAATTGGTAAATATATGAGGCACATTTACTAAATATTACATTTTTTCTTTTAAATTTGATAAAATTAAGTTTATAACGTTGGAAATAATAAAAAAAATAATGAGAGTTAACAAATATTTTTTCTTCAGATTGGGACAAAATATCAAAACAGTGATGAATATAAATGTAGAATGGATTTAAATGTAATATTTTTTTTGTTCTTGCGACTCTAAATTGAAAACGAGTTCCAAATGGATTTCGATATTCTTGCTTTAGTAATTTCTTCAGGAATCTTTTAGTTGCATTGTGGAGCAAGTTTTTTATTTAAACTTTCTTTTATAAAACCCCTAATGAAAAGCAGGTGTATTTACACAAGTTAAAAGAACTGTGTTTTTGGTCTGACTTTACCCGCACTTTATTTGCCTCAAACAATTTTTTTTTGATTGAAATGTCGATTAGGGTAAATGCACTAAAAAAAACCAGAAATAATTAAAATATTGAGTTAGTTGGCAAAAAATTAGTTTACGTGGAAGAATTATAAAAAATGAAACTTACCTTCATCTAAAAACGGTCGGCTTGATACATTTTCTACTATAAATATCAAACCTATTAAAGTAACAACTGCACTTTTGACCATCATTTTCCACTTGTGTGTTATATGTTGTTTATTCCGGAAAAGCAACGAACGTAATAACGCAATTAGCTGAATTGCTGGTACATAAATACAGATTACAACCACTAAACAACGAGTTGAAACAATTTCAAAAATACACCAATACACAATATTTACTAGTAACAATAGCGAATGAATAATAAATTTTTGCAATCGCATAGAATTCGTAGGTGCACGTTTGTGTATATCGGCTGTTGTTTTTGCTATATTATTTAAATAATCGTGAAGTTGATAACGGATGACTAATGTATTTTAAAAACTTACTTTACCCATATAGTTTCAGGGTTAAATTACTTTAAAACAATGAAAAATATCATATATCTTTTTTATTTATTTTGATTTATGACTGCGTGTAGAATCCTTCAAATATTTTTTTTTATTTCAGAAAGGATATCCCTGAATATTAATTTAAATTAATGTTAATATATGTAATTTGTTTTCATAATAGACGCTCAAGAAATCTGGAGGAAATTTGGTTTCGAGAAGAGATTTAATAAATCTTTCTAGTAACACTTTTTACTCCCTTGTAGTAATTGTTGATATTACACAAGAGATGTTTGCACGAATGTTTTTCGAGAACAGCAAATTAAATCACGGTTTTGAAAACAGTATTCCAGGAAATCCATAGATAACCTTTGTATCTAATCTTACTGCGCGGCAAATTGAATGTTTGGTTAAAAAAAGAGAAAATATACTCAGTGATAATATAATTATTCTATACTAATTAACAGGCAAACCAATTTTCATTAGCAGCATTGAGTAAACAACGGCAACCGTTTAAAGTTCTAAGTCTATTAAACTGAGACCAATTTAATGCAAAAGTCTGTATAGAAAGTAAATGCTAGATATTGCAGGTGGTTGTTTCAATTTTTTGTTTCTATTTATGCTTGTGCGAGTTAAATTCTTAGAAACAGAAATTTATAAATGAAAAGTACTACAATTATGGTACTTTTTGTGCTCTTTAAGGTGTTAAGAAATCATATTAAACATGTTCTCCTTTCTGCAAACATGCATTATATCCATGTTTGTTCTGTGGCAATTTTTTAAAAATATTTCCTTATCTTGTTCGCTCTGTTGGCAAATAAAATCTTATATATTTCACAGAAAAATATGTACATCTTGTTAAGCACATCGGTCTCTCGTAACTTCTTCGTTAAATGGATAATGAACGTATTCTAGAGATATTTATTCGTATATATTCGATTAAACAGACCCATTTGAAACATTGATTGTTTCAAAAATATTACGTGATGAATAAAATCCCGATCACCTTGAGCCGATGTACACTGTTGGGTAAACACAAATGTATTCTCTGTTTGTCCATATGTTGGTACTTTTCACAATAATGACTGCAATCCAATTGCATAATAACATGTGATATGTTGCAGTTATTTACTTAAATGTGTATGCCATGTTAAGCACAACAATACGGTTTTCAGTGTTCGACTCTTAATAATTAGCACTTCAATAGTTGCAATTTCAGTTGATAATCATACGATCGTATGATACGATCACTTTTTATCGTTTTAAAACGAACTCTTGGGTAGGTTTTGTGAATATATCGTACACAGCGATAAAAGGCAAAATATACGAAATCACTATTCGAAAATCTGACTATTATGTTGCATAGTAAGGTAAGTCTTTAATGTTTCTTATTATACCACGTTTTAATTATTTTCTACAATATGCTCATTCTCAAGACCCAAGCTGATGAGAAGCTGACGCACATATCCAAAGCTCCGCCTCAAATGGCAGGATTGCAACTCAAAAAACCCGAACTCTTACCCGCTCAATTTAATGGTAAATTTTCAAATAATAATTGAATAAATGTCTTATTTTTTAACCGCATGGTTTTGAATCAACATCCCTTAGTTGCATGGGGGCCACATTCAGTATCCCTTACATGTCCTTTTTGCCATCATTACACAATTACAACCGTTCGTTCTTCACCCAAAGTCAGAACCCATTTGTTAGCTTTGCTGTTGTTCGCTATCGGGTAGATATTTCAATGTTACATACTTAACAAAATAGACTAATTGAGTTATATTTCCAGATGCATCTGTTGCTTTTGGATTCCTTATACAAAAAAGAGTTATATGAGCCGAAAACATTACTGCTCACATTGCGATGCCTGTCTGGGAGTGTATAATAATAATTAAAATAATTACGATTGACTAATTTATATGTGATATAAATGTTTTTTTATTGGGGAAGTACATATATGTATTGGTTTTGCACTCACACGTGTTTTCTTTTAAATTACCAGCATTTAGTGATATTTTTAGACGAAAGGTCATAAATATATTGGTTTGAAAACATCATTCATTATTAAAATAATTTCCAAAATTAAACTTGTCGCCTTTTACTGATCTCTTAAATAAAAAAAAATGTTTAAAATATATCCTGTCTTATTGTCTTATATTAAAATATATCCTGAGTTATAGTTTGTATTATTTTGGCAGAGCATTCACATTCCTTTTAATCTTACTAAGTAATTTAATCAAAAGAGTTAAACTCCCTTTAATTTAAAAAAATCTGTTTAAAATGTCTTGTTTTATGAGTTATAATTTGTCTTATTTTTGTCAGGGCATTCACATTCTTTTTAAGCTTGTCAAGCAACTTAATCAAAATAGTTAAACTCTCGCGGACTGCTTGAAAGTGGTGAGTTTTTCGTGTTTTTAAGGCGCCGTGGAAATTTGTTTCTGGTACTTTCGCAATGCGCGATTGCCTCGCATCCTCAGAGGTGCTTCGCTCGAAAGCTTACACATATTTATTGTAATTAAAGTATTTGATAGTAACTTATGCATGAAAATTATAATATCAGCAAAGAACACGTTTTTACTAGTTAATCCCAAAAAAATTCCACATTTCTTTTGATCAATATTATTTGGGCATTAATTAGATCAATAGATTTTTAATTTTGAAATCAGCAAATCTGGGATAGCGTTGAAACGGTTTTCAATTTCATTTACTTGATTCTCTTTTCTTGATTTGTTATATATGATTTAATATATCCTTATCTTCATTTTTTATTATTTTTACTACTTATGAAATTTCTTCAATGCATGTTTGCCTAATAAATTTTTTTGCTACACGTGTGCTTGAAAATTGGAAATTTTGTGCACATCAAGTGCGTAGATTCATAACAGATTCGCCAAGCCTGTTATGTATAGAAAGTTTTTATCGTAATACACGATTAATGTAAAAAATGTGGCAATAAAGCAAAATTAAATATTGATGTGTTGATGTAGGAACGGAAAACTATTTGCTTTTGCTACGTTTTACGGAGAACTAGTTATATTTAACAAAACAATTAATTTATTGCAGTATACCAAATAATGTGTTTCTGCTCTAAATTTTTTCTGTTTTATTTAAATTTAAAAATAATAAATTATGTTACACATTGTTCGGGTATATTACGTTATTTAAGTAATCTCTGAATAGTCGAAATCTAGTAAAATAGTCAATATTTTAAAACACATTTTCTCTTAAAAATATTACCTGATGGAAATGCCTAAAAATCTAAAGCATCAATATACAATTCAATAAATTCAGAGATGCAAGACGGAAAGTATTAAAAACATTATTACAACAGCGACGTTAAATTATTCGGTACTAAAAGTGCTAAAAAATCTGATGAGTAAAGGCGAAATAATGTAAAAATATGTCCTGTAAATTTTATTCCGTTCGCTAAAAGCTGCACTTAGAGCAGTATTGCTATGAACACCCATACAAGAGTGGATTTTGTCACAATTTTTTTTGCATATATCAAAGCGTTGAAAAAATTAACCAATGAGAAACAAATGGTACGAGATATTATTGCTACGAAAAATGAGAAGCCATATTGAGTAAATAGTTTGTTAAAGACTAATAAACTTGCATATGTTCAATACGAAAAGAATAAGTTTAGCTGCAACAAACCAAATACTGTTAATCGTATTTTACGCCTTATAAAACTCTCCGACACCCGACCGATTTAAAATTCAGAATCGTGATTTAAATCTTTCGAATTTTCCAGCTGAGAGAAGACCAAAGGCGTCCCAATGCGTGCTGGGCTTGCCATCAACGAGATCTTGACGGCTTAGTTTTTTATATAATCGGTTTTTAATGCTATTATTATAGGCGAGAATATCAAAGTGTAAAATCTCAAATATCTGTGAATAGGGTACCGCCAAGAAGGCATACTTTTTCACGTAATAAGCTTCAGCACATAATTTTCTACTTGGCATGTGTTGTGGACCAAACAAGGATGGTTGATAAAATACCAAATTGCTTATTTCTCAGTTTGCTCTTTTCTTTTGAGCATTGTTTGAACAATTTAATGTCACAAAAAATTTAATCGATTTAACTTATATTAACGATGCTTTGAAGGAAAGTGATAATTGCAAGTTGCATTGCTTGTTCTCTGCTATTCACAGAGAAATTTTGAAATCTTTGATATTGCAGCTTTTGATATATAAGATATTTTGTGTTTGTTAATTTTTTAATATTTATCAGATTGTGTCTTTATTATTTAAAAAATATTATTGGTGCTTTTGGTGATGATAGTTTTGTGGGGTGGGATCATAAATAAAATTCAATATGTGAATTTTAACATTTTACAGTCCAATTTGATCCTACTTTGTAGACTATTTAAATATTTGAGATGCGGTCAGTCTTGCATTGTTTATTTGTGAACATCGATTTCTCGTTTTTGTTTCAAATCTTCCTCCATATTCTAATGATCTGATTAAAATCAAATTATCAATTATGTTAATAATAGAGTGAATAGATTGTTTAATAGATTGAATGAGAAGTTTTAAAAATTCTGCAATTGCAGTTTTAGTAGATATTTTAGAGTTTAGACGTATGGCTGAGCTATGTTTATCGATTGCTTAAGCCTGAAGCTCTGCCCGAAGATCCAAGTGATTGAATGCCTCCATATAGACCAATTCAAACCTTTAGCACAAATTGCATACGAAAGTCAACATTTTCTCATGGATTATGAATTCGATGCCTCTACCATGATAAAACAGTGTTGTACAGAGCGTTCCGTTTCAGTGATGCCGGGCTACAAGCCATCTAATTTCGTTAAAAGGTTGTTACGTTGAAAAGCGATGTCACGATAGCTCTATGTAAAGTCCGTCTAACTGTAACACTGAAGCTTATTAGATTAAAATACACACATAGCAGATTCAAGTACAGTTAACGTCCTTTTAAGGATCTTCCTTATACCTTAAATTGAGCGTAGTATGTGCATGTATGAATGCCGCTTGATTAGGTAGAGATGGGCTTGGATTTTATTAGGTATTAAATTTGCTAAAATGCATCTGATATGAAGGCGTGGTAGGTTTAATATCATTGGCGTAAACTGGCAAAGGTTAAACAACCAAAGCCTCATTTGATCGATAAGGCAATGCGCAAACACTGCCTATGGGTTTGATTACTTTCGATAATATTTAATAAATTAAATCCTTAATAACAATTTGTCATCCGAAAAAATATTAGAAATGTGTATGCCAAATGCATGTTGAATCTATCAATGCCTGGATATACCTGTAGGAACTTTTTCGACACTCAATCATATACTAAATAAATACTATCAACCAAATTTGATCTTGAGCTTGTTGCGTGCATGAAACTTGGTACAATATTATGGAAATTGTGAGCTAAATCTTCCAAACTTTAATATAACTCGCAATGTTCACACGAACGCAGCGTTACTTATCACTTAATAAACATTCCATGCCTGCCATTATAGCACCTCGACTCACGAAAGGAGGTATCATGTAATCTTCGTATTTATTATATTATAGGAAAAATATCTCAATTTGGAAAAAAAGCGATTCTCGTGAGCCGATTGAAGAAGACACTCATGGGAATTTGCTGTAGAACCTGCAAGAGGTTTATCCTTTAGAGTTTATGGAAATCTATAGGTCGGTTATATGTATATGTTGCGTGATTAGAGAGTTACCGGCATATAAAAATATATATGCAGGCCTTTTAATTGTAGATATAGTTTTCAGTATTTAGAAAAACGCTTTATTGATAATATCTGTTAACAACACAGAAAACCACAGAATGTTACTACTTTTAGCTCATTTTGGGACATTGGTATCGGTTTCAGTTGAGAGTCATGAGAGTGATTTAAACTTAAGTTGAACTATTGATTTCATAAAAAGCAAATACATATATTGCTTTGAGGGTTATTACCAGCAAATAAATGCCCAAAGACAAAGTTGGAGGATTTTTTATTTTTTATCTGCATCAAAAAAATGCATAAAATTACGGGATCTAAGATAGAACAAGCGAATTTTGCTTTTAAACACCACAGTTCTGACCAGAAATAGATACATAACAGTTTCCATTTTCCAGAAAAGCTTGAAAAGCGAAGGGACGAAATTGTCGACTTTTTCCATTAAAAATATAAATTTTTACTTTCATATCATAAATTCACTCAAAATGCGTCGAATCATTTTCATCTCAAAGAAGCGGGAAAAGCAGCGAACGTACTGAGAAGCAGTAAGAAGCTTCAGATCCGAATCCGATCCGATCGAATTCTAAATCATTCTCATCTGAAGAAAGCGAGGAATGCAACGAGCTCATTCAAAAACCCGCCAGAAGCTTTAGATTTAAAATAATTAAAATTATCTGCCATTTTGAACGGTTTTTGGACGCTCAAGATCTTTAATCGAAGATGTATTCCTCATTATAGGCCCCAACTATTTATATATGAATTTTGGTGAGATTCGTATGTCCTAAACAATCTGATGAGGTCAAAAAACCACGTATGCAGCATTTCTATTTTTAACTGAACATTTCATATGGATTAGGCCGATTTAAAATAAAATCAAGTCTCTCTAAATACCTCGAATTCTACATAGTTTTCAACTTAAGAACGCTAGGATGCAACTGACCTTATTGAAAAATACGCAAGAAGCTTTAGATTCGCAATAATTACCATGTTTGACCCATTTTAAGCGGGTTTTGTCCCATCACAATCTTTATCCGACAATACCTTCCTTATTATAGACGCTCATAAAAAATGTTGACTTTTGACCAAAAATTTCATCAGGGGCAGATGTAGATTTTGTGAAAAAATACCAATTCTGTGAAATTGCTTGCATTTCAAGATCCTTTTCATCTCAAGGATGGGAGAACTGCAATGAACTCATGGAGGAACACACTAGAAGCTTCAGATCCGAAATAATCGACATTTTCAGCTTATTTTAAGTTATAATAGGAATAGGTGTGTACACACAGAATGGAATCAAAAAATCGCTCGTTTTGTATTGAAGTGTGTAATTTTTTATGTATATGTATGAAAAGTGAAAAATGTATTTAAAGTGAAAAATTACACACTTCAATACAAAAAGACAAATTCTTTGATTTATTTTAAGTTGTTTTGGAGCAATCACGACTTTCAAAACTAAAGCGTATGCAAATGTTGAGCAAACCTTCACTTGAAAGGGGATATTTAAGACACTAAGGTTACCTTCCAAATGTAACAATTATAAATTCTTGAATTATCATAATTGATCCTATGTTTTATCGCGCAATAAAACAATGGTTCTTGTAATGTTGAGCAAATGAAGAGAAAGTAAAAGGAAAATACTTCAAATACAGCCACATAAATTGCAGATACTTTCCGACATAAAATGAGAAAGAGGCTTGGTGGTTGCACTTTAAAGTAATTGTTTATTGGGCACACTAATATTAGTGCTGTTTTTAACAGTTTATTTCGAGATATGATGTTCTGTAAATAATCATTCAGACAGTTTTAAACAGTTAATGGTATAGAAACTGAATATTCATTTATTTCTGTAGGCGAAATGCTCTTAAATATTCACAGCAATTTAGCACTATTAATTGATAATGAAAGACATTTTATTATTAATTTTATTGGAAAAAGTAAATCCACATCAGCAAAAATCATCTAAATTAAATCAATTTCTTAAGAATACTGAAATGTGCTTGCATTCCAATGTTGATCCGACTTCAGATTAGTTCTTCAAACCCTTCGAAATCCCCAAAGATCTAAACTGTCGATTATCTTTTCAAATAATCGACGTGGTATTATGATTTCTGATTCGTCACTACAGCATCTATTTGAACCATTGTTTATGAGAGATACCTGTGGCATGAAGATCTTTTTTATTATTAACTTGAACCGGCCCGTTTTCATATCAAAGCTCGTTCTCTTACAAAGGTGAGCAATTTTCCATAGGCCACTATTATGTAACGAACAATGCCGGTTAATTACTAATCCTAAATGTTTGCTGGCTTCATTTTAATCGGCCGCTAATAACCATTTAAACGTCCAAAGAACTAATTCTGTTTGAATCCTAACACTAATGTATCATTATCTTTAATAGTGTATAATTTAAAATGACCATGAGATGATAGAAAATCAGTCTACAAATAGTTGGGAATAAACAGGAAATAAATATATAATATTGATTATACTACATAGGCCATTCAAAACTGCGCAGTGACTATTTATTTCAATTTGTGTAAATTCTCCTGTAACCCTAGACTAGTCGTGGTTTTTTCTGCTGTTAACTTTTCCGAACATAACTATTGCCCTTCAATGAGTTTAACGACTTCAGAAACGTGTAAGTAAGCGCCTTTTTCTTCCGGATGGTGATTCCATGTAGATCTTCATCAAGATTCGCATTGATTTCTTTATGTAACCAAGTAATCGGCAAGTAAACAACGTCGTTCTATGATGTTGCATCTTTTTTAACTGGATTCTTAATAGAACATGTGGTCTCGTTTTGGGCTTTAATAATTACCGCGCTTGTTTCGATTCGCAAATTTCAGACCAGTGATAGTATACTTCATACCGCTTTTCTAATGAATTCATTAAAATTGATCGAATCATTATTAGTGTTTAATATTATTAAAGTCAAATTTGATACGATCGTTTGGAGACTGATGAGATAAGATCTGTAGTCGTTCAAGGTGACGGGACCCAACATCAGATGCGTTTATTAATATAATTTTTTTTTGTAGAAATAAACATGTTCTTCATGGGAAGGTGATTATAACTGGCAAATAAATTACAACCTGTAATTATCCATTTCAAAGAGTTCCATAGAACAGTTACTAATTGATTAGGATTTATTAATTAAAAAAACCATATCCAATCTTCCACTTTTCGACTTTTGTATTTTTCGGTGCCGGCGCAAACATATCGGTATTAAAGTTGCGGGTAAAAGATTTACTAGTATGAAGTGGTTATGAACAGGAAAGCTGTGATGAAAAACCCAGAATAGCATATGAGAATAAATGTGTAATAAAAACACGAGTTTTTGCTTTTCGTTTTTGCGAACGACATCATTAGAATAATTGATGGTCTAGCTTAAAGAAACGAAAGAAATGTTATCTGAAATGGGCTCAATATGTGCATGAGGCAGGTGGTCCATATTGAGAGCAGCTCAGGCTTGAAAGGATTGATGATGGTAATGGGCAACATCACAATATAATAAAATTGAAAATTCTCTTTTTTCTTAAGTACCCACAAAGAAATATTTCTAATAATTAGTAACTCTATTTAAATTAATCACTAGTTTAATGTGGCAATTTGCTAAACCTTTCCGGCCAGTAATCAGCGATAATTTGTTGCAAGTATGTATTCTAATTTATCACCGTACTCTTCGCAACAAACTAAACACATTTGGCTCCATTATGCTGAAGGCATTAAGAAAACGTGAAGCAATTAAGGGTCACAATGAAATCGTCTGACATCGCTACATCTAACCGACATTACTCCTTTATCACCGTTCCTATAATAAACACTCAGAACATATTCTACCATAATTTACGATCTGGGTGTAACCCAGTGCACTTTCATAATTCTATTTAGCATAGTTCTTTGTGTCCACCTTATACAATATACTATTAGATAATGCGATCGTTCCAAGAAAGATTCCTGTCTGAAAGTTAATGTCTTGGAAACTTCTGTGGGTGTTACTATTTTGTATCTCGACTTTCGCAATGTGTCCCAATGTGAATCTGCATTATGCAATTTAATATCAATCGGTTTGTTAATGTGGAACACTGATTGTTGCTCTTATTGCTATTCGCCTTTGTGATCAATTTTTATTCGTCTGAAAACTTGTATAACAGGGTGTCTATCTCACTTGGAATACTGTTCTCATTTGATCTATTAATACAATTCATTGAGGAAATTGATT